CACCACTATGCGCAAATCATGGGTGGTTACCTATAAAAAATCAAGAGCTAATTCTTAGCTTTCTCTCTCCCTAAAGTATCGGGGTTTTATATAATCAGATATCAATAACTTAATTCAAAAAATAGAAACTTAAACAATATATATTAACTACTAACAGGAGGCCATAGTGCAGGTTGTGCTGGTGTGTTCCGCAATGAGGATGGCAGGTGGATCCTTGGTTTTGTTCATAACATTGGTTCTTCTAGTGTTGGAATGACAGAGCTCTAGGGGATTCTCTCTTCATTGGAAATTGCTTAGAGTTAAGGACATTGTTTCGTATGGATTGAAAGTCTGATAGCAAGTTGGATGTGCAGTTTTTAACTCATAGGGTGAGTGACATCCACCCGTTCCTTACCATGGTCTTTGTTATTAGACTGTGGATTCAGAGAGAGTGAAACGTTCGTGTTTCGCATGAACTTCAAGAGGGTAATAGTTAGAGCCGTCAAAATGGGCTATGGCCCGTGGGCCAACCCGGCCCACCTTAAAAACGGACCGGGCCAGGTCCAAATAAATGAAACATTTATAGTAAGTGGGTAAATCTAAACCTGGCCCACTTTCACCCGGCTCACTTGAGCTGAACCCGTGGTGGGCCGAGCAGCCCACCAACCCACCTATTTTTTTTTCTTGCAATAGACAATCCAATAATACACGCACACACGAAACTCTAATTCCAAAACAAAACGGTCAAAACTCAAAAGACTGAAAAGTGAAAACCCTATTCTAGCAAGGAACAAAATACAAATCGCCCTCCACGGCTCCACCTCCACGCCTACTACCCCCCCTCTACAGGTTCCGCTTGGAGGAAGACCAACAGGCAACAGCTTCAACTTCAGAATTAGGAACGCGTTATCGTCACAAAGAATCAAAGGGAACTCGTTGTGCGTCTCACGAACTTCACAGAGGACGACTTCTTCAGCTTAAGGTGCTCTCTCCTTTTCTTCTCTTCCAAAATATAATGTTTTTATGTGCCTAATTTACTTTTGCTTTGGTCGCTTCAACTTTTCTCTCGTTGCCTGCAAGTCTACAACAACATGCTTTGCCGCTTTGGGGATGACTCGGATGAGAGATTGAAAGGGTGTGTTACTGTCACTTACGTGTGTACTGTGTAGGGTTTTGTTCTTTTAAGTTTTAATAATGGATTGGGTTTGGGCTCAAATAGAATTGGCCTTCACATTGTTACCAATGTTACGTAAGCCCAAATAATGAAATCCATATATTTTGCATTTTTAGTTTTTTACTTATGCTTTTCATAACAATAATGAATGATGTATATGAATTTTACCTATGTTGAATAATGTATATTACATTAAAATTAAATTAAAATTACATCAAGTATTATAATGGATGCTTCAACGAAACTAATTAAGAACTAAAAAAACAAAAAAAAAAAATTAATAACCGATGATATATTTTAAATTTTGTTGGTATTTTTTTATAAATTTTTTGGTGAGTTGGTGGGTTGGCCCGTTTGACCCACCAACCCGTGGTAGGCCGGGCCGGGCCAGAAAATTTTTGACAAAATCAAAAGTGAGCCGAGTTGAGTTGACCCGTTTTTAAGGTGGGCCAAGGTGGGCCAGCCCACATAGGTCGGGCTGGCCCGTTTTGACACCTCTAATAATAGTGTTGCAGATTTTCTAGCATCTAAGATGTTTCATTGGAATCCTGCACTGCATATTTTAGATTCCTTTACTGCATACTAACATCATTGTATTACATAAAACTAGTTTTTATTTATGTTTTTTTTTCTTTCCAAAATTCTATACTTTTTTTTTATAATTATTATTCAAATATTTTTGTTTTAAAATTATTTAATTCTAATATTTCAATATGATAATATTCTTTAAATTTATATGTCAAAACTATATAACTAATATAGTTTATCAGTATGTTGAAAACAATTTTTTTTATTATTTAAAAATTACTATATATATTAAATGATTATAAATCGTGAAATTATTCTCTTATTGACGGGTCAGATTTAATTTAACTCTTTGAATGATTACTTGGAAGAATTACTAATAAATTAATTTGATTTTTATAATAATTAAGTAAAAGCGGCACTTCGTGCTTTTTAATTATTTAAATTAAAAATTAAATAGGAAAAGATAATTCGGTAGGTGGTTGTGGATAGTTATAAAAAGTATTGGAAGTTGTAATGTGTTAATTACTAAAATTATTTTGATTTTTAATTATTTTTTTCTTAAAAATTGAGAAAAATAATGGTCTAGTAAAAAGTGAAAGAGAAATATTTTCTTTATATTTAAAATATAGTTCCTAATTATTTAAAATTAATTTTTTATTAACTTATGTAAATAATTATTGTAAAAAAATTAATGATATATTATTTTTCATAGATATATGTAAATATAATAATTTTAATTTTTCACATATTTTATTATAATAAATTATACATAAATCTATTATTGAAACCCTACTATAAAACACGAGGTTTAGCTTACAGAAATCTATTTTATTATAATAAATTACGACATAGGTGTATTTGAAGTAAATTGTTATATTTGAGTAAGTAATACTTACATTACATCTCGTGAGGCTTCGTACATTTTCTATTTTTTTTATTATTTACATTAATCTCTTACGAGGTCAATAATAATATCTTTTAAATAATTAAAATGATTTAATGTAAAATTTAAGAGATGTTAGTGTAAATGTAATAGATTTTAAATATAAAAATAAATATTTATTATAACAATAACAAATAAAACTAGAAACAGTATGTTAGTGTTACCCAATTTTGAAATGCAAACCAGACAAATTAATCAGCAGCTTGAGTCAAAGTCAACCTCCATTTTTACAGCTTCTGAATGTCATCATCTTTGAATCTTCCACGTTCGTGCTTTGCAAACCCTTTTTGATGTCGCACGTGTGATGGATGAATATCACAAAACAGTGGCAAAATCCACATGTTCGACAAGTTCATTCAAACAAAATGTTGAGGTGGCATAATTTTTGGAGAAAATAATGATTGAGATCCTGGATTCTTGTATTGCTTTGTGAAGAGAAGGTGTGACCTCTTCACCCTTTCAAAGAGCATCATCATCGTAAGTGTATTTGGATATAGAAGAAGAGGATGGTCCTTCTTGTGCCATAATGAATTAAGCTCACTAAATGCTAAATAGAGATTGCAAAAGTGTATGCAAAACTGAATGAAAATGAGGGTAGATATTCTGTATTTAACGAGACTGTTTCATACAGATGAGAGAAGGGATGTTTTAAAAACTCAATATTTTGTTCAATTAAATAAAATATAAAAAAATATGTCATCATCGTACCTTTGCTCTTAAGTCTATGTCTTTGTTCATCACATTTTAATATTTTATATTTATTCTCTTTTATATATTTTTTTTACCTGCTAACACTATCTATGGTGTCACCTCTTTTATTTAATTCCCTTCACTAACCCAACTCATGTCGTTATTATTCCGTCACTTTATTTTACTCCACACGAAATTGTTAGGAGGTGTGTGCCACTGAGAGCACCTTGTGATCCTTTTTTATTTTTATTTTACTAGAAATACTCATTTTATAACTCAATATATAATATACTTTTGCAACTTGAAATGGATTTAGAGTAATTATATATGGTTTTAGTTAATTTAAAATTTCCCAGCTCCATGTGAAAGCATGCAAAGCAGAGTTACAGACTCGGTTTAATTTAAACTTGAAAGCATAGCTAAACAAATAAAAATGAATGACCACCACCCAAGAATTCGTTTGATTAATTACCCCCCAATTAAGTTTTTTTTTTTTTTTTTTTTTTTTTTTTTTTTTTTTTTTTTTTTTTTTTTCGGTTCTATCACAAATGAAACATTCCCATGAATCCACTCATTCGGACTTAGGGGGCATTGGAAGTGGTTCTTGACTATACTCAATCCGGACTTAGGGAATTACATAAAACATGGCTAGAACTTTATAAAAGACGATCAAATAAAGATATTATATTTTCCTGTTCCATTGCATGCATGCATGATAATTATTTGTGTGACATATTTTCGAGAGAAAATTGAAATTTAAGGATTAATTTTAAGGTTTAAGACAACACTTATAATGAGTAAAAGATACATATTTTCGAAAGAAAACTTAAGACAATACTTATAATGAGTAAAAGATGTATATTTTTGAGAGAAAAGCTTAAGACAACATTTATGATGAGTAAAAGATCCAATAATAAAGTAAAAGTATATAGACGTTTTTAATGATCATCTGCCTCCAAACTACTCACCCTTCTTCCCTTTGCCTCAACATAAGTCGAAGTCTCTTCTCTACGTCACTACTAGATTTTAATTCTTTAGCAACATTTTCTTGTTTATATTTATTAAAATGTTACTATATATTATATAAATATGTTATTTTGTAACATTTTTAAAAAAATGTTATTATAGATAGAGTAATATTTTGTATTTCAATATTATTCTTTCCAATTGTTTTCAAAATCAAAGTCCCATATCGAGTAAAAAAAATTTACATAAGTTATTTTGCAACATTTTTTTGAAAAATGTTACTATAATTGCTTCTAAAATCAAAGTCCCACATCGAGTAAAAAAAATACATTTCTCTTATATCTAATTGTAACCCATAATTAAAGTCCCACATCGAATAGATTAATGACTCATAAAGAGTATATATACTCATATAGTTATATTTAAGATAAATGAAATTTGATATTCTATATACAATTAGTGGTGACTAACTAAAATGTATTTCCCTAAAAACTTAAGGAATTCCTAGAAGTTTAGGAGACATAGAAATATAATAATTGATAGTAATATTTAAATTAAAATTAATTATTATTTTATAAGATTAACAAAATCTTGGCAACATCATTAAAATGTTACAAAAAATTATTTAAATGTTACAAAAATACTACTTTGATAACATTTGAAAAATGTTACCTAATTATGCAAAAATGTTACTAAAAGTCTTTAACAACATGGACTAATATACAACATTTGATAATATGTTACTAAAATAAATTAGTCACATTTATACATAATTAAGTAACATTTTTTAAATATTGCTAAATACCATTTGTGTTGTAGTGCGTACGGTTTCCTTTGTCTGTGCTTCCACTTAAATGTTCCTCTAAATTGAAGCTGTCAATTGCAAAATAAAATTTGAATTAGATTAAACAAATCAGTTAATGCACATTGCCTTTAATTACACAAACCAAAAATAATTAGGATGCTGAAAAATCGGAGTGAGGATCACGAAAGAAAACATGAGGTGATTTGATGCAAGAATCAAAGTTGTAAGAATTCGAGTGGTAAAGATAAATAGAATGAAAGGAGGCACATGGCCAATAATAGAACTACTGAGGAAGAATTTCTTTGGTCTGGTATTACTAACCTAATCTTGTTTACATCAATCGTGAATCATGAGCATTGATTTTGTAACATTAACCTGATAATTTTTTCTTTCTATAAATATTTATCATAGCATGACACTATAATAAGGGATCAAACTAGGTGAAAAAAATAAGGAGCAATAAGATGCACGCCCAGAAAGAGAGCACAAATAGGTCCTCATCTTTTCTTTGGGTGGCATGACAGCCCGCAAAGTATGTGATCCATTTTATATTTCATTTTTTCTAGAAATCTTTATATATTGTTGTACACCAGAGTTTTCACACACACGTTTTGCAAATGAAGACATCTAATTATATTTAGGAATTCATGTTTTTACTCTTGATCAATTTTAAATATGGAGACTTTTTTTTATTTTTTATTATTGTATCTCAACAGCTTATAATATAACTTTATTTTTCAAGTTCAAATGAAATGTATTTAGAGAAATACATGGTTTTAGGTTGTCTGAAGTGAATTGAAATTTTAGCTTCTAGAGCAATTACATGTGTTACTTGCAGTCTTCTCGACAACAAATCATAAACAATCATAGGCAATCCCTTGTGTACCATCAGATCTACGTTTAACTTACTCTGCTAGCCCTCAAAATCTCCCACCTCCCATGTAAAAGCATGCAAAAAAGCTCAGTCACAGACATGATTCTAAACATAAAAGAATAGCCCTCCTCTTCTGGGGAATTGCTATGCCTTTAAACATTGACCAATTTTGTTTCTGATATGAAGCAGACTAGTTTAAATCCAAGCTATTATCATTAAATTAGATGGGGATTGTGTTCAGGAAAAACATAGAAGGATATGGTGAATTGTAGAGAACTATGGATGTGTAAAGAAACATGGAATATGCAGGAATACCAGGAACAAT